ACCTTTCATTCACGGGTATGGGTTCAGACTGGACCAAACAAAGCGTGACATAGTTATCTTTATGGAAAACAAAAGAATTGTATGTGGTTTGTGAGTAGATGGAATACTGCCAAGTTTTTCAAACTAAAATGGGTCATGCTCATTAATTCGCACTGTTATCGTCGGAACTGATCGTTTCTTATGGGTCTTAGCTTGGTTTGCACGTATATGCCTGCTGGTTTCATTGTCCGATTGCAATAGTTGCCTTTGCCATCATATCTCTTCTGTTCCTCTGATTTAGACTGTTGGTGTCCGAGCACCGCTGTCTCCACAGCATTGCACGAATCTGGTGGCACAGCCGGACGAGCATTGCTGAGGTCAGNCAAAGTTTTAGACAACCGCGGTCACGCACTGGAGCAAGTGGTCGACCTCCATAGATTACGTTGGTTGGAACATGTATTACGCATGTCACCAAATAGGTTGCCACGGCGAGCGACGTTTGTCGAGGCAGATAGTGGGTGGAATAAAACCAAGGACGGTTAAGTTAAGGCTTAGCATGAGGGTATGAAAATCCTAACCGGGAGACTGGGTCACATAGATCCCGTTAGGCTCCCTGGCTGGGGACCGCGAGATGATGGTTACCGATGGTTAGAGATACAGTGATATGGTTGGGTTTCTTAAACAGTGGCGTTCGTGCATCTGTCCAATTTCTCTGAACTTCTGAATTTTCTTTTCGGTCCTACTTTCAACCTTCCTGTTTTCCTTCTATTATTCACCCAAATGGGAAGCCAATAGACAGCAACAGAAAGCGGAAATGCATACCTAATGGTTGTTTAAACTGAAACTGTTCCTCTGATTATTGTGTTGAAAGCAAAGACGAGATGGCTGGTTTATCGGTTATGAAAGTTTATAGTACCGGCAACCCCAAGAGTCAATTATGCTGACCACGTTTTGCCTGGGTTGTACGCAAAAAGTCCTGTTTATGGCTACCGTCAGTTATCCTGTCAGGTCGCATAAAGCTTCACTGGAGATTGGATATTGGGGTGGGGAACTTCGGTCTCAGAGAAAGATGCGACAGTGGTGACCGTCTGGCTACGTTTGCAAACCGTATCCTATTAATTTTCACGATCAATCGCTTCCTACACCTCCAAAACACTTACTTGTCATTCCAATGACGGCTGAATAGCAGATCAAATCGGGTGCACATTCTCGCTGGGCTTCATCAGTCGAGAACTAGCAAACGTGTCGCGGCGCCGTCACGAGTAATGCCACATACATACTGCTCGTATCGTGATTTAAACAGGAAATATGAATACTAGTGTTGGTTGATTGTCTTTGAACGTGGCGTATTTACATTCTTCATACCACGAAAATGCCCAAGATGTATCGTATTCACGTTTCGTTATGTCTTACAGTGTGGCTCATTATTGAGTCGTCTGTCGTTTACGAAAGCCAAAACGCCGAGCCGCTGTGCGAATATCGCTGCCACCGAGCCAGATTCCGATGCGTTGATGATGGTAGACGATTCAGAATCAGCCTCCGGTCTCGATGGGGCTACCGTCGGGCGTCGAAATTCAGTAGATTTCTTCGGTCTTCGCAACAAAGTTGGTCTGTCTTGTTTTAACGTACTCAGCCAACCCGAACCCGGCGTCAATGGCTCTCGGACTCCGGAAATTACAGAGCAGCACACCCGGTTCAAGGGTCGCCTATCTCAACAAGCGGTTAGTCCTCCATTGTTGTCGTTTGTTTATTATTTATCTCGCAAAGCAACGGAACTCTTCAGCAGCTGTTGGCTTTTTTACAATGCCTCAAAATTTGCAAACCCTAATTATGTGATTTTCTCTAGTAAGATTACCTTGTAGCTTCACATGCGATTGTATTTTGGATTCTGTGCGATATTCCTTTGGGTTCTGGATCGAATTTGACTAAGAACAGGTAGCATTATCGAACCAGATTGACCTACTCTTGTACAATGTCGACGGTGATATTAATACAGGGACCTAAAAATGATCATATTTTTAAAGCGGATTTTCAGTTTTTAACTAAAATTTATATTCCATGCATATGTATGTATATGTTCCAATTCGTTCTTTGTCGTAGGGTCATCCATTTCTGTTTTTCCTAAATAATCACTACTTTGGTACACATTTGCGTACCTCGGTGAACAAGTACACAAGTCCTGAAGTGTAAGGAGTATTTCATAGGAATAGAACCTTTGACTTGTCATGTCCCTGGGACATCTATCTCCTCGGTCTCCATCACTTACCCGTTTCTCACCTGCAGTTGCAATAAGCTGATGAATATATCAGCTGTCACACCCCGGTTAACCCCGGAAAAGATGTGCTGAGCCACGTTGGGCGTAGCAAACTTCATCTACAGGACTAATTTCTACGCCAGAATTCGTTCCGTAAAGTTGAAACTAAACAGAGGAGTGAGGCAAGCTTGTCTTAGCCCACTGGTGACGGAAAACGAGAGTGAAAGTTCTTCAGAAACCCGAATGTTCTCTGTCGTCTGATCGTAAAGTTCCCTTAAGATCAGAACAGACCACTCCTTTCCCAGCACCCCATCAAGCAGTTCAACAAGGCAGAACCAATTCACGTATACGTCCACAAAGGTTTGCACCAAGTGGCCCATTGGTGCTTCTAGTGTCTAAATTTAGTGGCAACGGGAAACAAATTTTGTTCGGAGCATATACTGAGAGGTTTATCACCATTATCTGAACGACCGCTGTCAAGATTATGATGACCACCAAGAGTAGTCTCATCGTACGACAGATGGACGACGCAAGCATCTGGGTCCCCATCCATAATAGCGATATCCGTTTTAGGTGCTTTTAGAAGGTTATGTGGACTATGGCAGAAGCTGTTTTTGACTGCATCCAAGCTACAGTCAGCCATCACGATGAGACTGCACCTTGACGTGGTGTGATGGCTTGCGTGCCTCAATGACCGTGCGAGCTACACAGGATGGCTTCTCACAGCCGTAGATCCAATCATGCCTGAAAGGTCAATGGGTAGAGACCAGACTAAGCTCAGTCTCACAAAGCCAGCTGCTTGGGCACCTCGTGGTTTCCTTCTTCTATCCACACCCGCCCCTGGAGAGGCCACTCCAGCAAATAAACACGGTGAGGGGCAGTTACCGGTAAAAAAACCCCGCTAGATGGACGTAGGAGCTGGGTACCTGGGGCTTCCTCTCGACGGTGGGAGAAGTCTTCGCACTTCATTGGACCGCTACCGCCCGCTCAAGCTGGGCAGCCCCCGGCCGACAAGGTGCTGTCCCGTCCACGTTCCGCTTGTCTCATTGGGCACGTGAGGCTAAGGGCTGATCCCGAAAGGCGGACCGATAATCAACGCACCAGCGAACAACAAACTTAACCGAAATTCAAAGGCCTTGCGTGACAGGTCTCCAGAAGATCCCGCACGGGTGCTTCGTTCACGCTCCCTCAGTGGATTTACGCCCCACTGCCTTGTGGGTCAGACTTTTGAGTCAAAGGCTGCGGTTAGGGTTCCCAAAGAAAAACCCCTTCGTCGGTGTGGACTACCACGAAGTATGTCGTACCCTGAAATCTTAGGCACCCAAACAGTCAGCCAGAGGTTATACAGAAATCAAAAAAACCGCCGTTCGTTGGAACTCTACTATCTCTACATGGCACTCGGAGTCTCGTTGCACGTATTCAGCCGTCTATCAGGATCCACTTCAATAGAGTGGCCTCAACCCTTTTACTCTTGACAATACTAACACCCACTTGACCAGACGCTGACTTATCGGAGTCTTAAGGTTTAGAGGGAGACGTCAATAAACTTGGGTGCCGAATATATATTTCCGAGAGTAACATTCGTTTTGAGTTAATGAGCCAATCTTCTTGCTCTGTATCTGTTATTGTTCTCACTTTGAGGGCAGCCATTTTAAACGAGACATGATACCATAGGAATATAACGGGGGACTCCGCTGGGATGGCGTGATGGCAGGCTACATCATGAGCATGCATCAGTAGAAGAAAGTGTAACTTTTAGTGAAGGTTTAATGTTCGCGTATTTTGAATTCGATGAGCGAATGCAAAAATCGAAGGCACATGTTCATGTCTGGTTGAAGCAGTGAGCTTTCTTGGAGGGCTCTGCTCTAATCCTTTGATTGAAAGTGACCTACTAACAGCAGGATGCGTTGGGAGCCGGTGACTGACAGATAAATTCGTACACCTTTCGAATGCGACCAACCACCAAAGGTGCTCAGTTTTCTCACTCTTCGAGCACTCACCGGTGAGTGATTCAATCCAGAGGTGAACTTGAACGTCTATTCCTCGGGTTTCACTGAATTTCGGAACCGTTAGAAGCTCCTCACATTAAGTGTGGGTAGTTTGGAATAGGTGGTAAAAATCAGGTATTGATCTTCACCCTCTGACTTTATTTGAATCACCATCACGTGAAGACAGTGCACAGGGCATCCTCAACAAAAGCTTTTCCTTTTGGGAGCACTTCTAGAACGGTTCGGCATGAGTAATTCGGGACAGACTCAATCATACCTCTTCATTCGGAAGCATATTTATCATTTACCTTGTTACATAGTACCAAACTACTGTTCTTGATTCACTGTCATATCAAACACTGTTCCCAGTCATATTTTATGTATCATTTTATTTGTTGACCATTTATTCGTGCTGATTCTGTTCCGTCATTCAGCAAACACGCTCCTTCGACACGGGAAAACGAGCTTCCTGTGAACCCGTTCCGGCAAATCTGAAACGACAACGCTCGGCCAGTGTGTTCTCCGCCTTACTTTAAACTCCCTGTGTCCAGTCTTGTTCTTTTATCCTGTCCCCAAACCTCGCCCTCCACAATAAACCCAATCCGTGTGTATAAATCCCTTTTAATACCTCTCTCTCTCAGATGTTTTTTTACTTTGCCGTTGCATCGACTTGGCCCATTCTCTTGTTGAACTTTCATTCCCTTTTTGTGAATAGTGTGGTGAATGCAACTAATGATTTATTTTATTCCGTAGTTTGTCTTTTTCCCTAGTATCTCACTGACCACCTAAAATTTGGTTAGGAAATATTTACAATTAGAAAATGTTCCCCTCGTTGAGGAACAAAGAATCAAATCAAAAACCAACAGGTTGACCTCCTGTTCTTACATATGTGCTTCATAGCTGATTTCTAAATTGTGGTTGCTGTAAATGCAAAATAATTCTGTGCAGTCGATCATGCAGTGTATTTCGGTCAAAGCCTAGGCGTAGGTCCCGTCTGAGAACTGTGCGTAATTATTCGTTAATTCTACTGGGGGAAAATTAACCATTCACACTTATCTGCTATCGAAATTTCTGTGACCCATGTACGATATTACAACCGTGCCATTCAATTCACGAAATGTCTTTTTTATGCTAGAGTTACATCCCTTTTCTTATTGTGTTGTGAGTGATCAAACGCTTGCAGTCGCGTTACTTAGAGTTCGAGGTTCCAAATAACACCGTAGCCACTGAACTTTGGTAGTAGACAGCATCTTTTTTACTACATACATCTTGCGTTATGGACAACAGACGGGTTGGAATCCCATACTCGTGAGGATCTGCTTTTTCTAACCTAAGCCCCGGGATTTGGAGTGGCGAACCACATAAGGCCCCGATAGGTTGAGCATGGTATTGAATCGGACGACATCAAAACTTTACACCACCAAAGTTGGGTGACGGGGACGGGGCTCAAACCACGAGCCATTGGGCCCAAAGCACGCGGGTGACAGCAACCAAAGCACTGCTCAATATCACGTCCAGGTTAGTGGGCCTCAGGTGATTCGCAGTCCAAGTCCAGGGCAATCGGATTCCCGTGAGTGAACTATAGGTCCTTGTGGCTTAGGGGTTTATCCCTTTGGATGTTTCTCATCCAATAATGTGTAATAAAAAGACAATAACGAGATCCGGTACTAGCTTCTTTCAATAACGCTTGTCCGCTGATAACTTTGTACGCTATGTATTCTGTTGAATTCCTAAGGCAATTAATTTAAGCGTGGGCGACTTTTCCTGAAACCCTATTACTTATCACACATTGGGTATTTGGAAATTGTTCAAGTGTAGCTGGACAGGGGTCATTTGTCTATTCTGAGAGATCTTTCACCCATATACTCGAATCACATCTTTGTCCGTCAGAAATCATCCAGATGTGACTGGTTTCATCTTTAACCAGTGTACACTACACATGCTATTTACATACTATTTAAACCTCGACATTGCAATTGACGATTGCCTTTCTGTCACTCAACATATTGGCACTGTGTGTTCTGGTGTGCTATTCCAATGGCTAATTTCATCATCAATCGGGTATCTGTGGGAGATATCGGTGATTCGTCCATACGTGGTTTTTCTCGTTTTATAAAGATCCCCGGAGATGCGCTTGATATACGGGGATAACATCCTGCTGCTTCAAAAATTGCACTAGAGCATGGAACGACTCGGTTTCCCTATCGCCGTGTGGTCAAATGTCTGCCTGATTTTTTCAAAGTTGTCGGACATAGGTTTCCTGATCCATAATTGAGTGTAATCCAAATGTGTTGCTTTTGGAAGTCTGTTGGCTAATAAATTATGTCAGTGGTAGACAGCTTTGCTATCGGCCGGTTCAATATCACGCCTAACCTAACAGGGGCCTTATGTGGTTCATCACTCCAAGTCTCGGGGCTTAGGTTGCCGATTACCATCACTGAACAGCAGGTCTTCGTGACTCTGGGGTTCCACTTCGTCTGCTGTCGACCACACACCGTTGCGTAATAAAAAATGACGAATTGGTTGAAATGGAAGGTTTTGATTTGTTTCATGTAGATAGGCTGACAAGAAAGAATAGCAAAGGTGGCGGTGTGTGATTACCTATGGGCACCACTCCTAGTATGGCTCCGTTAAATGCTTATTCACTCGCTGAACACTTGTATCACTTTTTGGAGACTTGAAACGAGTCTC